CAATGAACAATAAATGAACATCAAAACCGCGTAACACAAAAATGAGTCAGGAAAAAACACAAACAGGGAAATCAGGTTTCCCTGTTTGAGATCGGTGGTCGAGTGGGCTAGCGCAAACCAGCTCGGAGCACGTGGAGCCAAAGCTCGCGCTGCAGAACCCTGGGATCCTGGGTTCAATCCCCAACCCTGCCCGTTTCGATCTGGATGAGCATCCTACCGGCGTGCGGTCGTGTATCACTACTGCGTGGTGCACGTTAAGGACCCCGGGCTAGCGGTTGTACTGCACTGGCTAAATTGCTCATCTACAGCTGGGAGACTCGTCGCCCGTTGAGGCAGACCAAGTTCTAGGCTGTATAAACATACAAACAACCCAATTTTTCAGGATTTAAATTCTAGACACCACTTTTTAAGCGCTTTCTTTGCCGTTAGCGTGGATGATATACTAATCAAATTCTCGGGTGATTTATTAAAAAGGGAAGGAATATAATGCCGCTTTATTCTCTTTCCGAGGCTCGTAGATATTCCGGGTATCACGTTCCCTTCTATGCATCTCAGATTTCTCTTTTTGACCTCAATTTCGGAGATCTTTTCAAAAATTCCTCGTGAATAATACACATATTTATAAGTTTACAAAAACACATTATATTTATTTTTTTTATTTTTATATATTTGTACTAGGTTTTCATATGTGGTTCCGTACGCAACCTTACTCGCAATCCGTTTGAGTAGTCATCTATTCCCAGTTTTTTTCTTCTACACATTGACCGAAAACAGTAGCACAAGCTCGATTGTCCTAAGGCCATGAAACAGCTTTCCTAAAATTTATACCACAAACGCTCTTTAACCGGTAAAGATACGCGGATACTTTGCGAAAAGTTTTTTTTAAGAAATTCTATGTGATGGTTCCATAAAACATGTTCGTCAAAAAAGATGTCTAAGTACTTAACACACTTCGTATGGAAGTGCTATACTTTTGCAAGAGTTGTCATGCCCCAAATTTAAATAAATACCCACCGTTAGCTTCACCTGTTTATGGGAATAACGGAACCAATTAAGTTTAGTTTTGTTGCTATTTACTGAAATAATATTGGCAGAAAACCACTGCAATAACATGTCCACGTCCTCTTGAAATATTGAAATCGCGTTTTCGTATATGTCATATGGTAATAGTAATACTCTACCGTCTGCATATAAGAAGATTCTAGACTGTAGCGGTAAAAGGGTTAACTCATTTATGTAAATGTCAAACAACAACGGGCCCAAAAGTGCTTCCTTGAAATACACCGCACTGAATCCGAGTTTACTACTAACACAATTTTCTATTTTCACAAATTGAAATATGACTGTGTGGTAGTCATCCAAAAAATAATAAAATCTGAAGCCCATTCATTCAAGTTTTCCTGGAAGTAGCGTATGATCGATGGTATCGAATGCTTTCGATAGCTCTAGGAACGAAGCAAGAGCAATATTATTCTTATCTAACGTATCGTAGATACAGTCCGAAAAATCTTCTAAAAGTGATGTTGTGCTTTTATTTTTCCAAAAACCGTAGTGCAAATTAGTAATAAGAGGAAATTTTTCACAGAAGGAATTCATACTTATTTGAACTAATTTTTTCATGATATGAGAAATTACTGGCAATATAGATATCGGCCGTTAACTCCTGAAATATTTTTTATTATCGGCTTTGTTAGGGGCCTAAAGTTACTGCAACTTTTAGCTGTTTAAGAATTTTCGCTGTAGTAATGGAACCGTTAATTATTTTAAGTAGTACTTGCTTTAGATGATCTATATTGTAACGTAACCCTCGTATACGTATTTTGTTTATACCTGGAAACTTTGTTACGGACATAAGATTTATGATGGTTAGAAGATCATCCTCGCACATTAGAGGCGAGTCTGCCGAGCTTTTGTTACTTAACTTGGGAGCGTATGATTTTGTTTCTACTGGTATAATTTTCTCTCTTAAATATTTAACGTCTTTGATCAAATCACAATTAGAAGAGTCTGCTAACATCGTGTAGTCATCCGCGTATGCAAAATGCTTCTGGTTTGCATTATCAATATTACTTTTTTCTTCCTTCTAATTCACTGATTGACAAGATTCCAGGTTTCCGCTGAATTGTTTACCGACTGGCTAAATTTTGTCAGTAATGCTTCCTTTTTGCCAATTCAATTTAGGGTATTAGTTTATTGTGCACCTAGCAAAATTCCTTGTTGAGAAGCACGTCTTCAGGTTTAAATTTACATCTCTTCCTTAGCTTGTCCTTAGTGTGACATATTCTTAAGATTTCTTCGGCAATCCCCACATTTTCTGGTCGTCGCTGTGTGAGTTGTACTTTCCTTTTAAATTTTTGGTATATATTCTGTGGGTACCATGGCGGCTCCCCAGCCCAGTTGCCCGACTGCGGGGCACGGGTGGCGAACTTTCCCGCTTGGCGGCAGATTCAAGCCGGGCTCGCGCACATCGCGCGCGCAGCCTTGATAAGGCGGATCAGACGCGGCGCACAGGCTGGACAGGCAGTCGCTGGCTGGGCTGAAGTGCCGCCGGTGCTCGTTGGTTTTTGTTAGTATAATAATAATAATGATAATAATCTTTATTTCCATTTAAAGAAATGGTGGAGCGAAAGAAAAAGCTTTGTTCGTCTTCTCGTCAATGTCCAATTAAATGTAGCTTCTTGTTGAAACCGTTGGCTCCGTGTTATTCCTCTGGGTCGGGTATGCCGCAAGGCAAACCGACCACAGTTCTGAAACATGCCTATTAATGTATTATAGGCTAAAATGTGGCCCAGGGAGAGTAAAAAAAATGCAATCATATGTTCTAATTAATTGGTTTCTTTTTGCTGTTATCTAAAATTATTCTACATCAGTTACTTCCTACTGAATATTCAATTTGCCTTTCAGCCCATATCAACAATATAGTAAAGTAATAATCCGCCACTTTTTTTTTCTTATGACGCCAGATAGCATAAGCAAATTACTGACTCTGGTAACTATATGATATATGATGTTGTATTAATTGTATCGCCAAAATGGTTTTCTCTAGTGAAGTCATGTATTAATTACATTATCAAGTCCAAATAAAGAGAGACTGTCAAGATAACTGGAGACTCCGTATTTAGCCTCCTTGAAAACATCCATGTTAAGAGCACCGGCGAGAACGAAATATTTATTATTATGGAACTTACTAAATAAAGCAGACAGTTCTGCGATGAACAGATTGATGTTGAAGCCCGGTGGCCTATACACAGCACAGTCAACGTAAGAAAATACGTCTCCGTGGATGGATACAACACATGCTTCTGAATGTTTCCATGAAATTACAAGTCTATCCGATATACACTTGTCGTTAAAAAAATATTACTAGTCTACCACCTTTTTTTTTTTCTCGGAATAAATAACATGCATAGACATCATCTATGGTGAACGGTTGGCATAATGTTTCTTCTAGATTAATCTCAGTTAAAGATGAGAGCGTCCAAGGAAAATAATCTTTCTAATAAAAGCACCATTCGTTGATTCCAGTGTTTATTTAAACTACTCACATTTAGGTACAGTAAGTTTAACTTTATTTCACCAACTTTTACTTCTCTTGAGAATCGGTTTGTGTGTAAGTCCTAGAGTTTCAATGATTCAAATGAACTCTTCATGTTTACCTATTTTTTCTAATTCTTCGATTTGAATAAACAGCTCAATCCCCTTTTTGGCGTACAAACATTTTCCCATTTCTGGTCCATATAAACTTGTGGGTCTTCTCTTTAGACGGTTCTTAGCTTGCCATAACAAACTCCTGTTTCGTCTGGTTACGTTTTCAATGACATAAATGTGTTTCTTCCTCAGTGCCACTCGATTTTGAATTCAGATGCCTCTCATTTTTTCCTCCTTGAACCTTACCGAGAAGGAAGGTATTTTTATTTCCTTTGCTCTAAGCTATGCACTGCATCGACGGCTTCATCTGTTAGTTCGGTAAGTCGTAATTTTGTGGCAAATTCAATAATTACTTCCATTGCATCCTCATTCGGCTGTTGAGTGATTCCGTGGATTTCAATATTCTGTCGTCTAGAATATTGCTCAGGCTTGTCCCCTACGGTTTTTAGTTCCAGTATTTGCACACCCCTTTTGGTAATGTTTTCCCACCAATTCACTAGTCTTTTTCTGCAGACCATGAATTGTTTTTTCAAAACTACCCAGTCCTAAAAGTATTTCGTCCTGTTGCGTGGAAAGGCTGTTTAAGAATGCCTCTATCCCTTCAACGGTTTCGCCTTGATTATCAAGTTTTGCCAACATATCTACTTTGTTAGTTTGCGTTTCCAAGCGCTTTTCAAATACCGGCAATCTGACGAGAACGTCTGTCAGCCGCTGGCCGATTACTTCATTTTGCTTTATTAGTCTTTCGATGTTAGTTCCCCGTTGGGTTTTCCTGTGCTAGATGTCACTCTCCTATATATAGGGGCTTTTGCGAATATGCTAATTGACGGCTGGCATGTAAGTACTTTGCGTGTATTGCAACACAATCCTCGAGGCTACCTTGGAGCAAAGCTTTCAAAGCATTTTTTCCCACGCCAGAAATTTCCCACTGCGGTCGCAGTGCTTGCCTTCCGAGAATTTCAACCTGGGGCTGTCTGATGCCACAGATTTCATGTACGCAATACATTCAGACATTTCAAAGGCTCTCAAAGACAAGAAGAACAAATGCAGACCAGCGAAATTCAAGAAAAAAGTCCAAGAAGTTCAAATGAAAGAACTACGCTTACCTATACAAAACAGAGGCGCGGCGTTAGCTTCTTACTTTCGTCGAGCATTTCGCTGGTCTGCCATGAGGGCTATCACGCACGTGCTTCGCGCCCTTCGTTCTGATTGGCTCGAAGAGGCCTTCGCAGTTTGTCTTACGGTTAAATAAAACATATCAGCAGGTGAACGGGAATCCGCTCGCTGGACGGAAAAATCCTCTAGGGCATATTTTAGAGTATACTCTTATGCGCCATTTTACTCCTTTGCAGGGCGGCAGGTTGGTATTCGTGGAACACGTGGCCTATCCAGAAGGGACCTGGGGCTTTCTAATACAGACGCTGGTCGATCCGCTGTGGTCTTTCACCTTCCTTGGATGCCACATAAACAGAAGACCGGAGCGCCTGTTCAAGGATGCAGGCTTCGAGCAGATCGAACTCAATCGAGTGTTTCTGTCTATGCCTGGAGTGCTGAGTCCCGCCGTGTACGGCTGCGCCGTTGTAGTCAAGGACTGATCCTGTCGGCACGTACGCTTTTTCTTTTTTTTTTACAGATGCTGGAGGTAGTTCTGCACGAAAAGCAGAGTTAATGGTTGCGCGTCACATGTAACGAGGTTACTCGATTCTTTTTTGGTAACATAGCAACATACTCGTTACGTTTTTTTTTGTTTTTTTTTTTCAAAACATTGACGCATAACGTACTCACGTTTTTTTTTTTTTATTTACAGTGATGGGTAACTCAGTTAGGTTCCTCGTTTAATATTTTTGCCAAGACTTCAAAATTAATACACTTCTTGACTTAGGAGCCAAGTCATGTATTCTCGCACTCATCCCACAAACCTTGAAAGCATTGCCTCTCTTTTACAGCAATAGCTGCTATGGGCTCTTGCCACCACTTTATATGACGTCCGTCGTCGATGTAGTAGCAGTAGTTGCAGCTGTTAATGTAGTAGTTGTAGTTGTTGTAGTTTGAGATGTAGGGCATCCGCCGTCGATGTTGTAAAATCCTTAAGAAAAAAAAGGAAGCTTTACGAACTCAGGTAATCCAGAGCTTTTTTTTTTTTTTCTTCGTTGCCAATTTAGACGAAATGACTAAGCGCATAGGCATACACACAAGTACAGGCTATTTTATATCGAACCGGTCACCTAGCGGCGGACGGCAATACAGTCGATATTTTTTAAACACGCCAATTACTCAAGTACTGGCAACCAGTCAGGGGTATCATGTAGCGCACAGTAACCCTCGCGCATAAACGTTACGGTTTCAATTAAAATGTTTTTACTGTTCGAATGTTCACACCAGTATTATTAACACTCATTTTTGTCCTTCATGGACTGTGGAGGCGAAAAACCATGAACATATTGTAAGGAACCTCCCCTCGTTTTCCAGGGGTAAAAAATCAATGCGGTGCACCCGTGCTCAGTTAAAGGTAGGTCCTTTTTCAGCGTGCGTTGAAGAATGCCATAGTAGAACACTTAGAATTCACCGACCACGGTACAAATATACCTTTCTAATATAGCCATGGTTTAACAGGCAGCGCGCCGCACTGCAATTTAAAGAAAAAAGATTTCACCGAAGGTTTGATCGGTATACAGTACATTCACCAATAGATAGGTATCGGCCATCGCACATCTACTAAATCTTTATAAAATCGTTTTCAGGAAATTTAACTGCAATATTCAAAGGAAAGACGCACTTGAATATTCAAAAGAACGCACAACTGCACACAAAAACCTTTTACACTGGCACATATTTGATCACTAAGGACAGTACAAACCCATGAAGCGCATACTCCAGTTGCACCTGCATAATAGCACGCAAAAATTCTTTCTGCCCATGTAAAAACACAAGCCTAGGCACAATTTGTCGTAGATATAAATGGGTCAATCCTAGACAACCATAAGGAACAAAACGGAATATATTTGTACGCGCCGAGCGCTTTTAGCTTGAATTCCTCTTGAAAGCAGAAAAAAAACTTATTGCAGCTTCTGCACGTTGAAGCGCGGCATACAGATTAATACCAAGTTTTTTCAGTTAAAATATATTATAAACAGTAGCGTGCTCAAACGTCGACAAGTTCCCACCCCTCCAAACTTCCGCTTTTGCCCTCACCTTCTCCGTATCTTCGCTCCATAGTTGCTTACTGTATCGAGTGGCACCTCGAGATACCTCGCAGGCAAGGCCGTACACTGAACATTCATAAACTATTCGTGTGTGCTGGTCCAGTTACCATGACAGAGACCTACGCATTTGCCCTAGTTGACACCAATACCCATTTACTTTAAAAATGAGAGATCAATGCTGGTTACCTCAAGAACGCGTCCTTGGTCGACAAAAAAATACAGAAACGTCGTGTGCATAAGAAAGAACCATTACTTCACAAGAGAGTAAATCAAAACAACCGCATCTCCACGTGGTGAATGATGTTGATTGGGGCGAAGCTCTGGTGGTGCTTGTCTGCGTAGACGCTGAGCCGCAGCATGCCGAGCCTTTCGTTCGTTTTCATCCATGTCACGCTGCGGTCAAATGCTCAAATGCGTACATAACCACGTTCCATACCACACATTCTCTTTCTGACATGGATGAAAACGAACGAAAGGCTTGGCATGCTGCGGCTCAGCGTCTACGCAGACAAGCACCGCCAGAGCTTCGCCCCAATCAACATCATTCACCACGTGGAGATGCAGTTGTTGTTTTTTTTGCCCTGCACGAGCACGGGAGCACGTGCTCACGTGCTCGTGAGCACGAGCACCCGACGCCGGACATCGGACGGACATACGGACATGTCTAGCCCCTAAAGGGGTATTCACACGAGGGAGAAATCCCGGGGATTTCTCCCCGGCACGCGCATACCAGGAAGAAAACGTTGTGCTTTGCGATGTGCAAAAGCCCCGCGTTTTCATCTCGTGATGCGCGCGTGCCGGGGAGAAATCCCGGGGATTTCTCCCTCGTGTGAATACCCCTTAAGGAGCTTCGCCCCTAAAAGACGTATACAGTCAATAGACAGTTTTGGTATAGCGTTGCTGGATCTTACGTACTCAATACGCAATAGTATAGCGTACGCTAAAAATGACCTGCTCGGACCGAATTTAGTTGTGCGTTACGTTTTCGAGTGAACACCGCGCATAATCTTGGTTAAATTTGCTAGAGCCGTAGAATTCCGCGTGCTTATAGTGCAACCATGCTTCTGGAAAGAAATATTGAAAGAGAAAAAGTGTCCAATCATTTTATTTCAGATTAAACCAAGCCACAGCTGCCTCGTCAAGCGCGCTTTTCTGCGGGTTACAGAGGCTACGAGTAAAGAGTGCGTAGCCAAATTCGATCACGGAGCCTCCGTCAGTCGTCCCGCGGAAACGGCACCTTTTATCAATGCTATCGCGGAATGAAACTCATGACCCTGATGTCCAGTGCATAGCGAGAACTTCGGCGATTTCTTTTAGAGTCGTTCAGTGGCGTACCAACTTGTTTTTGAGTGGGGGGGCAAACCAGACCCTCCCCCCCCCCCCCCCCCCAAATCGAAAATTCGGCGCAACGTTTGTCCAACTTTTCTAAAGATTTGGCAATGATTCGGCAAAATTACAACGTTACCAGACTTAACATTGATATTTTGTTTTTTCTCACGAAAAAAAGTTTGCTTCTTCTTAAAATAAATACAACTTGTAGTGCCTATTGAAAGAGTTATGACTAAATAAGGTGATATTCTAGAAGATAATTGTATCGATGTCGCTTTTGTGTGTTTACTTGTAATTTTGGTGTATGCTTCCAGAAAGTGGCGTGACAACGAGGTTGGGTAGTAGCCGGCACAGTCACGAATCACACTACGAGAGCTTTGATTTTGAGGCTTCATCAGCGCACGCCTGCAAGTGTGTTTACATTGTTAAAATAAAGGCAATCACTGCGTTCTTACTTTCTCTGGTAGTCGCCGTTTCGTGCGCGAAAACGGGTGCAACGGTTGCTGAGCCTTCACCAGAAGAGATAACAATATTGTAAATATGCATGTTTTTCGATTTGAGTCACTCAGTCATTTCATCCACTTATGACTTTTTTTTTCAGTGTCTCAGCGCTAAAAACTGAACTAACCATGTCCTCTTTGCAGCTTCGCAGAAAAGTCTCTCAGCTGTGCTTTATTCACAAAATCTACTACCACATTCCCGACCTCAAAACCACTTTGTTATTACTCCCCGACCGAACATCTTCTCGCCTCAACAACGTCTGCACCATCAAGCACATTTCTGACTCTACTAACGCTTTCAATTGGTCATTCCTTTCTCAAGCCATCAGCCACTGGAGCAGTCCCCCATCCTCCATTGTCACCATCTTGGACCCTGCTGATTTCTCCTCTGCAGTAAAACTACACCTTTCTTGGCCCATGTGATGGTGTGCGGGGCTAGGCAGATAGGTGAAAACCCTTACGCAGAGCGCCTGCCGGGCCAGACTTGTACGTAGTTCAACTACTTTACTCAAGTTACTGTAGTTTAACTACTTTTCTGGATAGTTTAGTAACTTTTAATTACATTTATATTCTAGTAATTCGTAGTTTACTTTAACTACTTTTCCGAGTGACTTCCACTCAAATTACAAATTACTTTCTAATTTTAGTGGTTGTTTTGCCTATCAACACAGAAAAGATGTCGGAAGGTCAGCTGATATTTGCAGAGGGGGAAGCATGCGGAGTAGAAAAGGGGGGGGATGGGAAGGAAGAAAGTGATTTAGATAGTCCGAAAAACCCCAAAATTTTTAACGAGCCCCCCCACTGCAACAACACTGCTACGAGGCGCGGGGAGCGAACAGACACGACGCAAGAGAGGTCGAGTAACTGTGGGATTAGCTCCGAACAGTGGCGTTTCTTTGTATTCCGAAGCTCAATGAGACTTGACGCATTTGAAGAAAGGGCTTGTCCCCGCTTCTCTCCAATGTAGGAATTCTTGCCCACTACAGGAGGTGCACACACTGCTCCTTTTACGGTCCAGGCGATAGAACCCCTAACAACGACGCTCACGCCGGATGGGCTGCTCGTGTATCACTCGAAGCGCGTTAACCCACCCCCGCGCCTGCGTTCACGCCGCTTCGCGGTGACGGTGTGCGGCTGCTAATTACAAATCTATTAACCCACCTAGCCCCCCCACCCCCCGTACACGCCGCTTTGCGGCGTCCGGTCGGCAACCGAAGCCCCGGTGCCCCCCATGCACTTCCGTAAATAGAGTCGATACGATTTAGTTTAGCGATGTTTCGTCAACAACATTCGTTTTTTTAGTGTTAATGGTAAAAAAGAAATGTAAATATCGCCAAATGCCTCGACAAAACAAAATGTTCGAGAAAAAAAAAAAAAAGAAGTAAGCCGGCCCACACCATAAATAGAACCCGGGTCTGACACGTATGAGGCAGACATCTCACCACTAAGTTACGCTACCTCTTCGAAAACTCGCATTGCATCCGCTGCCTATGTTGACGGCGGCAGCGCCTATCTCCAAGCAAGCAAGCAAAACTTTATTTTGTGTAAGGGCCTACGTCCTGG